TATGGTAGTATGTATGCCCGTATGTATGCATCTATGTATGTATGTATGTATGTATGTATGTATGTGTGTGTGTGTATATGTGTACGTGTATGTGTACGTGTACGTGTATGTGTATGTGTATGTGTGTGTATGTGTGTGTCTGTGTCTGTGTATGTGTCTGTGTCTGTGTATGTGTATGTGTATGTGTATGTATATGTTATGTGTATGTATATGTATATGCATATGTATAAATGGATGGATGCATGTATGTAGGTGCGCAGTGTTGTAGATTCAGCTGTATCCTGTCTTGGAACACGAGCTCCTCCACCTGTGCACTTGGCCCCATGCGATCTCACGACGTACTTCAGGCTTGTTGCCGGCCTCCTCCATCGTCTTGAGGCTGCGGACTGCGCGCCGTCGGAGGGTGAACGGAATACCGTGCACAAAGTCAGTCCTTCGGCCCAGAATATGCCGATTTATTGTCAGAGTAGCTACAGCAACAGCATACCAGCATTACTAGCACGAGCACAAAATCAGTCCCTAGGCCGCGAATATGCGTGAGAGCACTCATACCACAAGCATAACTGGCTGGCATTTTTCAAGCACTGGACAATAGCCATGGTAATGTATCGATGAGTAACTCCCTCAACCGCATAGTGGGCTTGAGTAACGCTTTAAATACAGCTTGAGGGAGCCCTTAAAGTGCATCTCAGGCTAGGCGCCTGAAGACTCTTCAGGAACCCGTCGTAGGAGCCATTGGGAACCCTTAAACCCCCAAACTCTTTGATACCTTTAAAGCAGCACTTTTTAGGAACTCCTTGTTCCTCAACATGGGCATCTCAGGCCTGGTCCGAGACTTCAAAGGGAGACTTGGCCGGTATCGGGCCGCCGTGGAGAGTGCCCAGAGGTCTGGGTTTGGGGTTGGGGTTTTGGGGGTTTAGGGTCGAGGGAACCCTAAACCCTTAACCCCGAACCGTTTAGGGTTTAGGGGTTTATGGTTTAGGGCTTGAGGATTTCTGATCGGTGCGGCTCCCCCTCGCATCGGTTGCGCAACCTACCCCCTCAACCCTAAACCCTATCACCTGCAACCCTAAGCTCTAGAACCAAAGCACCAAACTTGAAACCCTGATTCCTAAAACTCGCAGAAACAATAAACACCCTCAAGCCCTAAAGCCGTAAAGCCCTAAAAACTAAGCCCTCTTGCCCCGCATTTGGCTTTTTGCCTTCTTTTCGGCAGGTCTCACCAGCAGAAGAAGCAGCAAAGGGGCAGCCGGCGGACATCCGAGCTGGACGAGGTGAGCTTTCTTGGCCTTGGGGGTTCCCTTCTCAAGGCTTCTGCAAGGCTTGCTGTGGTTTAGGGTTTAGGCTTTAGGGTCTAGGGGTTTAGGGTTCAGGGTTTGGGGTTTAGGCTTTAGGGGTTTAGGGTTCAGGGTTTGGGGTTTAGGGGTAAGGGTTGCTCTACGGGTTACAGTAGGGCTCAACATGTTTTGTTAAATAGCGAGTGCAATGAGTCCTATACAGGGCTTGATCTAGGGGTCTTAGTATTTAGAATAGGGATCCTGTTTAGGTTTCTATAAAGGGTTCTATAACGCCAAGGCCTTAATGATTGGCATAGGGCTTGGGGGTAGATCATACGGTAACTATGCAGGGCTATACGGAAATACTATTCGTGAATATTCCGGCCCCTGCTGTGACATTCAGGATTTGGGGTTTCGGCATTTAGGATTTAGGACTTTCAATGTCATCCAGGCCAGGAGCAACCCAAAACCCCAAGCTCTAGAAACCTAAACCCTAAACCCTAAGCCCTGAACCAACTGCTGTAGGGTCCCCATGATTTTTCGGGGTCCTCTAATGGGCACCTGCACCCTAAACCCTAAACCCTAAACCCTAAACCCCTAAACCCTAAACCCTAAACCCCTAAACCCGAAACCCTAAACCCTAAACCCTAAACCCTAAACCCCCTAAAACAAGGCAGGAGGGACCTGGCAGTGTAAGGTACATTTCAGGGGCCCTGAGGCCCTGCGGTTGATGATAGAAGCCCTTAGCATTGCCTTTAGGGGCCCTTAGCCTATGGGAAGTTAGGGTCTGTTCCTTTTTTTTTTTGGGGTAACCTTAAGGACCCCTGAACTATGGGAAGTATGGCATATTCCTTGTGATGGGTAATGCAGGTTTTATATCATCAGCAGTGTTTATCTGAAACCCCTGAGGCGGAGAAGGGCAAAATTCTCAAGGAGCTGGAGGAGGTAAAGGTCGAGGAGTTGGAGGTCATCGGAGCCTTCGTTACCTTCACCCATGTGCCTGGGTTGGAAAGGTTTCTTTTACACATAAAGCGGGCTGTTTATGTTGTGCTTTAGGCGGCAATAGCTAGTATAATTGCTCAACTATACTTGCGGTGCTTTATAAACGCATGCCTAGCATAATTGCACTAAGCCCTAAACCCTCAACCCTAAACCCTAAACCCCAATATGCTATAACAAACCCAATGACTGGACTGAAGGCCCAAACCCTAAACCCTAAACCCTAATTTTAGGGAGGATTCCTGAGCTGGAAAAGGGCCCTAAAAAAAAAAACCTAATTTTAGAGGACAGCTCAGGGCTTCAGGGGCTCAAGGTTGCAGATGGGGGGCTTGGGGGCTCAGAAGTTGAGAGGGCTCAGGGCTTCGGTTTCAGGGCTTGGGGCTCTAGGAGTTCTAGGGGTTTAGGGCTTTAAGGAGTTTAGGGTTCAGGGTTCAGGGTTTTAGGGTTTAGGAGTTCAGGGTATAGGGGTTTAGGAGTTTAGGGTTTAGGGTTCAGGGTCTGGGGTTTTAAGGTTCGGGAGTTGACGGTGTAAGGGGTTTAGGGGTTTAGGGCTTTAGGGCTTCAGGGTTTTAGGGTTTTGGGGTTTTAGGAGTTTGAGGGTTTAGGAGTTTAGGGCTTTAGGGCTTCAGGGTTTTAGGGTTTTATGGTTCAGGGCGTACGGTTCAGGATTTAGGGTTTTGGGGTTTTGGGGTTTTAGGGTTCGGAGCTTACGGCTCAGGGTTTTGAGGGGTTTTAGGAGTTTGAGGGTTTAGGAGTTTAGGGCTTCAGGAGTTTAGGGTTGTGGGCTTCGGGTTTTGGTTTAGGGTTTAGGGTTTTAGGGTTCAGGGCTTACGGTTCAGGGTTTAGGGTTTTAGGAGTGTAGGAGTTTGGGAATTTAGGGGTTTCGGAGTTAAGGGATTAGGATTTTAGGGTTTTAGGGTTCAGGGCTTACGGTTCAGGGTTTAGGGTTTAGAAGTTTAGGGTTTTTAGGGTTTCGGGCTTTAGGAGTTTAGGGTTTGTTTTTCAGGAGTTTAGCTTACGGTTCAGGGTTTAGGGTTTGAGGAGTTTAGGAGTGTAGGGTTTTAGTGTTTTAGGGCTTTAGGAGTTTAGTAGCGTTTTAGGGTTTGTAGGAGTTTAGGGTTAAGGGTTTTAGGGTGTTAGGGTTCAGGGCTTACGGTTCAGGGTTTTAGGAGGCTGCCCTCAACTTTCAGAATTTCAGCTCTCTCAGCCACGCTATTGCGTTTCGATGTGCAGCTATAGAAAGGAAAGAGTACATCGTCAATAATTACACGGGCCTCCTATCCGCTGACGAAACCCTGAATAAACCCTAAACCCTAAACCCTAACCCTAAACCTTAAACCCTACACCCTAAACCCTAAACCCTAAACCCTAAACCCTGAATGCCTCAACCTTCAAGCACAAGCCCCAAAACCCCACCATAACCCTGAGACCCTGAACCCTGAAAACGACCCCTGAAATGCCCAGGTGAAGCACAAGGAGTTTATCAGCCAAGAGTACCGATTCAGTCGCATCATGGTCCTGGGAAGGTGGCGCTTGGGCCTTCGGGATCAAAATCCTTAACCCCTAAGCCCATGATCCCTAAACCCTAAACCCTAAACCCTAAACCACTAAAGCCTAAGCCCTAAAGCCCTAAACCCTAAGCCCTAAACCCCTAAACCCCTAAACCCCTAAAGCCCTAGCCCTAAAGCCCTAAACCCTAAACCCTAAACCCTAAACCCTAAACCCCTAAACCCCTAAGCCCTATAAAGCCCTAAACCCCTAAACCCTAAATCCTTTGCAGGGCAGGGTTGAGGCTCCAGGGGTTGACGGTTTTGGGCTGTAGGGTTTTGGGGTTATTGAGTTTTGCCTTCTCAGGGCCTTATAAGGCTTGGGGTGTAACGGTGTAGGGTCTGCACGTAGAGGTCGAGGGTTCAAGGGTTTAGGGTTGTAGGGTTTAGGGGAGGGTTGAGGGCTGATGGCTTCAGGTTTTCTTCTTCAGTGCTTCAGGTTTTGGGCGGCCGCGGGTTTGGAATGTCGCCACACGGTTCGGGGTTTAGGGTTTAGAGCAGCGTCGAGCTCCAAAAAAGGACCCCCAGCCCTTGAATGGATTAACCGCAAGCCGTCGATACTGGGGGACAAACTCAAAACACTCGCTGTTTTGGAGCCGTGTTGCCAGGGGCCTGCATGTACATGTGTGGCCCTTACCACGCTTGTATCCTATGCTTATTCCCTTTCTGACAATGCGACAAACAGAGGAAATTAACATGGTTCAGGTTGCAGCGCCGTAGCATCTCCGATCTTAGTGACCATTCGCAGACAAGCGCAGGTGGTTGCAGGGTGACGATCAGCGCTTTAAAGGTGACGCGATTCGCGTTTCCGATGCGCCGCTGCCAGCGGACATCTTCTGGGAGAACATCGATTGCCCAAAGAACAAAAGGAGGTTCAAAAGAGTTGTCATTGCCGGTGCCTTCCTGGTGCTGGTCCTTGTGACTGGGTCGGCAGTTGGCAGGAGGGTTGCTAGGCGCAGCTGTCGACATTGCAGGATTTGGGATTCCGCATCTTTTCGGAAATAGACATAGCTCTAAAGATTCCTCATTTTTTCAAACAGACACGGCTCGAAAGATGGCTCTAAACCGTAAGCCTCAGGTCATGATTCTCTGTCTGAGCCTGGCGAAGTGGGGCCGGGAGGAAGCGCAGGCCCAAGGGAGCGGCCTCTGCCCTGCAGCAGCAGATGCCACAGAGTCTCAAAAGCTCTACTGCTCTTGCACCGCCATTGGGATACAAAGCGTCCTGCGCGACATACCGGCGGGAACGCGGCGGGAGTGTAGTTCCTGGCTGGAGACGTACGCATACTCCCAGGCAGCGTGGCTCTTTGAAAATTGAAACGAGGACAGCATTGTACTGACTACGTACCCCTATCATGGTAACTTGAACTAGGTTCTTAGACCTTGAAAATCCCTAGGCTCACTATAAGATACGGATCCGATATAGCGTGCTGCAGTGATTACAGAGAAACGCCAATTCTTGCCCAAGGCGATGATGATGCTTGCAGTGGCTTTCTCGTCTGTTATCAACATCGCTGCGGGCGTGCTGATACCAGTTTGCGACAGTACCCTTTTACAATCTGTTTAACTTTTTCCGGATTGCGCAGCAGGAAGGTTTTTGTTGGAAGGTGTGTGGGTCTGGGTTGGGGAGTTTTCGTTGCATACTGCCCCCCCACTCAGCAACAGTAGAATTTTACAATATAGATAATATATACGGCCCTTACTACTACCCTGACCATGGACTCTTATTGTATGGGGGCAGTACCCAAAGTTGACGGCGAAATCGGTGTGCAGCGTGGACGCTTCGTCCTGGAACGCAGCAAGCGTGAATTTTACACGAGGCGTGTGAGACCTCCGGCCATGTCATGGTATATGACCAACTATTGGGCGCCAAGCAACAAACCCTAAAGCCTACACTTAACACCCTAAAACCCTAAGCCCTAAACCCCAAAGTCGTGGCAGGGTGGCATGGCGCCGGTTCTTGTGAATTGCATAAGGTAAGGGGGGAGCAGGAAGGATGCACTCGGGCTTGTGAATACTGTCAGGCTTTAGCTGGTGTTCAGGGTTTAGGGTTTAGGG